GGGGGCGCTGTGGGAGGGCGAGGGAGCGGGGGCGCTGTGGGAGGGCGGGCGCTGAGGGATATGGAGCAGTATCTGATGGGAGTCACGTTCCCCCCTCCCCCTCCCCAGATTGTGATTGCCACCCCGGGCCGTCTGATCGATGTGTTGGAGAACCGGTACCTGGTCCTGAGCCGCTGTACCTATGTGGTCCTGGACGAGGCTGACCGCATGATAGATATGGGCTTTGAGCCAGACGTACAGAGAATCCTGGAGCACATGCCCGTCACTAATCAGAAACCCGATACTGATGAGGCTGAGGACCCAGAGAAAATGATGGCCAACTTCGAACTGGGCAAGCACAAATACAGACAGGTACAGAGCCCGCGCTGTGTGGGGTGTCAGCAATGCACGGCCATGGTCTGCAGGATTGGGGAGGAATGTGGGTCTCTTATTCTGGCTTGCGATGCAATCAATAGGGGTTTACTGACAAGTCGTAGAGTTGTAGAGATGTACAGCATGAAAACATCCTTGTAAATCTTTACTGAACCCTTTCAAATTTCGCAACGTCCTTCCTGTAGCAGGGAAACAAGAACTGAACCCAGTATTCCAAAAGTGGCCCTAACCAATGTCCTGTACAGCCCCAACATGACCCTCCCAACTCCCTGTACTCAATGCACTGACCAATAAAGGCAAGTGTACCAAACACCTTCTTCACCGCCCTGTCTACCTGCCTCTCCACTTTCAAGGAACTATGTACTGGCTCCCCCTGCAAGGTCTCTCTGTTCAGCGACACTCCCCAGGACCTCACCGTTAAGTGTATAAGTCCTGCCCTGGTTTGCCTTTCCCAAAATGCAGCCCTTCACATTGATCTAAATTAAACTCCATCTGCTGCTTCTCGGCCCATTGGCCCATCTGATCAAGGTCCCATTATCTTGTAACGTAACCTTCTTCGCTATCCCTTACACCTCCAATTTCAGCTTCATCTGAAAACTTACTGACCATCCCTTCTATGTTCACAGCCAAATCGTTCATATAAAATGACAAAAAGCAGTGGACTCAGGGTAGGGTCGGGGTGTGATCGAGCAGGGGGTTTATCGATGGGGGGTCGGGGT